CTCCAGATCGAAGAAATTCAAACTATAGTTCAAAAAACAGACCGGCTCATTTAGACACAATATTCATTATAAAAAATACTACTCAAGATCAAACTCAAACAGGAGTAATTAACATAATCGTCGCAAAAACCATTCACATTCAAACTGTCGTATAAAATATAACTACAACGAACGTTCTAAGCATTCTTTAGGAATAACTCAAATTAAAAGACTACGGTCATGGATCACGTGAAAATTCAATCAAATAATAACAGGTATAGAAAAAATAGCTAATACTATAGATCATGAAAAACTCTCAGTCGCCAATTAGAAATAATTCACAACATTTGAACAGACAACACAAAAATTATAGAAGTAGCACATTAAAATATCATTGAAAAACTAATCGAGTACAATCTACAACTGAAACAACCCCTGATCATCCAGGAATTGAGAACAACGAAACACCAGCACTTCAATCAAATCACATACAATGTGAAAGTACTGCCGACAAAACTGAGACCAAACACGCATTGATTTTAAATTGTTTAAAAATGAACAAGAGTACGAAACCCCCGCCCGTTCAATCTGTCCACTACCAAAACGAAAGTCCCAACAGTAACCCTGATTTCTCAAGCAAAAATCAAACAAAATATTTAAATTAAATTCCACAAAACACAAAAAAGTACATCAGAACACAGTTCGCAAAATGCCTACGCCTAATGAAAAACTTTGGAGAAAACGACCTTTTTAGAAAGCCCAAAAAGCAAAAATTTTTAACTCCAGACCTCGAAAAAGAGATTTCTTTATCGATTTTTTATCGAAGTTCCATAATAGATAAACAAACTAGCCACCCCACAAGGTAAAAATTTGAAGAATCATGGAAAATTTAATTACCTCTGCAACCAACGAAAACAAATGAACAAAGTAAACATCTAAATAAACTTTTTTAACCAACATTCCTTATTACAGATATGAAACTTTAAGTAATAGGAAAAACGTTCAACATTAGTTATATACCAACAACCAAAATAAAAAATAGTAAATTACAGATTAATGATAAATACACAGGAATAAGTACACACTAGAAAAACAAAAATTTCTAACAAGGTGTATTTTCAAGAATAATTTGAAACATTAGCAAATTTACAAATGAAAAACCCAAATGTATGTGCTAAATCAAAATTTCTTTTTGGAAAAACACATTCCAAATTACAGCCTCCACTTAAACCCGACGCAGTTTTCAACTAGCAACATGCAAATTAAGTCCACGCAAGATACTTAAATTCTTTAATTGATTAATCAAATTGTTACTGTCCAATAGATTCATTTCAAGTAATATATACGAAGTTAAAAGGACCATATTTAATAACAGCAGATGTGAACAGCGCATGTAATCAAACGAAGATGAAAACCTATTGTCACTAGAAATTTGAATATGATTTTAAAGAGTTATTCAAAGGAATTTCCACAGGACCAGCAGCTTTTTCCGCACTGATTTAATTTTTTGGCCCTTTATTTTTAGTCACATCGTTATCACATACTAAGATTCTGTTTTATTACAATCACAAAAAAAATAGAAAATTTCAAGTTTTTGAAAAATACCATCAACCAAGACAAAAAGAAGGAAAGTAAACCGAGATCCGAGATAAATCACTTTTTTTCCTCACCCGAGTTGAACTTACAAGGTATATAATCAAATAACAAACAAAAAACTTCTCTAAATTCACGAATAGATGCTTTTTTAGTGATACAACTACCACTCAACAAAAAGGTTCAAGAACTACAAGGAATGTTGAATTTGATAAGCAAAAAAACTCTAAAATCCAAATACGTCTTAGACCTTTTTACAATATATTTTACGTCGAAAAACAACTTTTGAATGGACTATCGAACATCAAAAACTAATTAATTAAACTAAAAAACTCATTAGCAAACAAATTTCAAACACTATCCATGATTCAAATCAACCAATTTACGCAATGTGTGATGCATCCGATTTTGGAGTTGGAGCAGCATCCCTACTTTGTCATCAGGTATCAAAACAAATAAACTTAACCTCAGCAAATTCGCGGCTTTTGACGCCAGCAGAACTACGATTTTTCTCAACTATGAAAGAGTGTACAGCTATAATATAAAACATCAACAGAATACAATTTTTCAGTTCTTGGATCAAAACATCCAACAAATCAATTCACAAACGATACCACAAACTTATAATTGTTCTTCTTACACAAAAATCAAAACCAGATCGTTGATTATATAAATTTCAGCTAACTCTAATCAAAATCCACAAAATTCACATAGTTTAGACAACAAGGAAAAAATTTGCTTTGTCAGATACTCTTAGTAGAAACACACTACCATAATTACGAATACAAAAAACTAAGTTTTTGAAAATCCACAAAATTTAAAATTCGTCCTCGCTAACGACAAAACATCATAAGTATCCACATATGCAGTAAAAATTATACAGATAGCAAACAAATAAAAAATTGTCCCACTTTATTTCGAATGCCAAATGAATCACAATGACGTTCCTTTAACAGGAAAAAAGTACATTTTTAAACCCTTACCACACTTTTCATGGATTAAAAATATTACACAACTGCAAGCAAGGAATCAAACCCCACAAAAAAAAACATTTCCATAAAGAGAAAAACAAGATTTAGTAGACACAAAAAAATAGCAGGTCCACTAGAAACAAACATGAAGTACTCAAATAAAAAAGTCATTGGTCTGAAAGACTCTGGTGGTAACATACCGTTAACAAATCAAGAAAAACAAAATGTTTTCCTGCCATGTACAGTTAAACTCATAGCTGAATTAATCAAGAAACTCAAAATCTAGACCAAGTGATACGCCAAACTAAATCTAGGCACAAACATAAAACCAAACAGATATCAGCCACCTAGGCAAAAAACTTTACTCCAAGGCTTTCGCAATGGCGCTTCAAAAAATGAAAACACAGAGCTTTTAGAACAATTACATACAGATGATAAGGCACCTTGTTTACCACTAAGTTTAATTCTTCGCTTTTAACATAGCACAGTTTCCAAATAACAAAGGACATATTGGATTACAAAAAAACTACGACAATCTTACTCAAAAATTAAATTTTCAAAACGCACCAATATGGATAAAAACCAAAGACAAATTGCGGAACAACAAGACTTTCAGGTACTAAAGTTAGTTTATAACCAGAGAACCTTTTTTGACACGAAAGGCCCTATATCACCTTTTTCTGAAAGAAATCCATACATTATGGTAATAGTAGACGCATTCACACATTAGGTAGGCGTAAACCGCGCTTTGCTAACATATCCGCACTTTATGAACACTGGATAATGAAAATCGGTCTACTCGAAATCCTTGTCACAGACAATGGCACAGAATTTATTAATAATGAAATTATTTCATTGTGTCATTTATATAATATAAAACCTAAGCCCAGAACTTCACATGTTCCATAAACCAATCACTACATGAATGTTTGCGATGTATAATTAACGGAAATGATAAAAATTACAATGCAGGGTACACAGACGTAAAATTATTTCCGCTCGCAGACAATTCTCAATTAACCCCAAACTTTGGATTATCACCCTATGAAAAGGTTTCCAATCAAAAACCACGAAAACCAATAATGTTTACAGCATATGCATAAAAAACACACAAGGAAATTGCCAACCGTCAAAATTGCCAGCCGCATATGTTATAATTTTAGTTTCTTCCACAATTATATGAAAAAATATTTCAATTAGCAGAAACCTTGCAAACCACTGGATGTTTTTTCAGGTTTTATTTTGTCAGTTTTCTTTTTGTGGTCTAAATTTTTTCCGTTAACAAATTTTTGCTTCGTCAAAATTGATCAGATTGCATCTTTTTTTTCGACACAGCTGATGTATTTTAATTTTACATAAATGCTATGAATGTACTCCTTAACTTATGTACTAACTTAGCTCTCTTCAAAAATGAAAAAAAATGGTTCGAAAAATATTCTAGTTAGAATGGGTTACCTGTAAAAACATAAGCAAAGTAGCCTTGAAATAGTAGACTTTTTTCAATAATATAAATGTTTTCTGTCAGAATAGAATACATGTTTTTTGTTCTTAGATTGAAAGAGCTTCCGCCATAGAGAAATTGGGTTTATTGAAATAAATTGGTTGTTTCTACTCCTGTTGCCATTTCAATGTTCGTTCATTTTTCATCCTTTATTTTCATTTCCCTGAAAGACTATATGGTAAACGATGCAAAAAATTTTCTGAATTTTTTTCTAAATCGAATTTAATCGTCCTTCTGTAGAGAAACAGCCCTTGATGTAGATCTAAGATCCCCCAACTCTTTGTACCTTATCTTCTGACTCAAAAATGTCTGCTCCTTTTATTCACAATTTACATTTGAATCGCGCGACATTTAAAGTTACCAATGAAAAACATTTCACCAACTTCGGCATCGCAAAGTAAGCGCATACTTCTGATGAATTTTCGTTAATTGATAAATTGATTGACAAACAAAGTGACCATCACACCAATTATCTTCGAATGAATTTTTTTTTGCTTTCATTTGAACATCAGAACGAGAAATAATCATTAGCAGCCTGCCAATTGCTCAAGTTTTCTTCACAAAGAGCCTTTTACGGGAATTTCGTTTTTTACCACAAAAATTTGAAAGAAATCGATTCAAATGAAACAGAATAAAAAGTTGACGGTGCTGAAATTTTTTTATGAAGACCATTTATGGTTCATTCCAAATTAAATCTGTGGTTTCTTTTGTCTTTTCTATTTTTATTGACAATAGTAGAAAAAACACAGATGTTTGTTGAGAGCCAGCCAAAGTCTACCAGTCTATCTTTCCCTTTGAACAACACAGTTTTTCCTAATCGGAATTCAAATTTATTACTCTCTGAATTACATCAAACTTAAAAACTGCAGTGACAATAAAACTGTTCTTTGTAAATAATAAACTTCAGAGCTTTAAATTATTTGGCCATGCTCTGCTAAATTTAGAATAAAACAAGTTCTATAAAAATTCATTCAATTGGATCAAACCTTCAGATATTTTATGGCTTCCAGTGTCGCTTACATGTATCTAACTCTTAGTTTAGAATCTAAGTTTTCTAAAACCCTCTGCGACCGGCCAGCGGTTTGGTAAAGTACGTTCAGTTTGCCGCACAACCTGAAACCCTTTCTCAAACTAAGCCAGCGAAATACATTAGTTCCGCAGTTTAAATCCTGTTTGCCTATCATTCTATTTCTAACGCTAGTTTCTTATTTCTTACCCGCTATTTGGGCGCATTCACAAGTCTTGAGTTTCAGAAAAATAACTTTAGTTCTGCTTTATTTTGAAATCCCCAAACTAATCGATAGACAATCAGTTTTAGAAGATTAATTTAGCCTTATGTTGCCATTCAAGTTATTCCATACCATTCATTAAAACAATTCACTTCAAAAAGTAGATTATTTTTCATCATTATTAGTTTTAAACATCTTCCTTTCACAATTTAGTTGGAGAGCTTTTAATATAAAATGTCATTGTCTAGTCTGTGGCGAGTTTTTACCCCGGTAGTTTCCACCATCGCTGTTGCAGGTCAGTGATTTGACATTCCATTTTAAAAGTTACTAAACCTTAAAAGATAAAAATGCAAATAAAAATAGCAAAAACAATATTGGTGATTTTCTCTTTTTTATTTAAAAAAATGATTCCCCACACGCAAGATCAATTATAAACTGGTTAAATCTACTGTCAAAATATTTTGATCATTTAGCTTGAATTGTTGCAATGATCAGTACAATGTTTTAGGTATTTGTTGTTGGAATCCAAAACGGCAGAGAAGATCAAAAAAAGTAGCAATGCTGCGGATTCTGCGACAAATCTGATTTTGGCTTGTTGCGGATCCAGCTTACAATGCACACTTTTTTGCATGTAACTTTTTTGAGAGGGATTAAATTGCTGCTTACGCAGCGCGCCTAATGAAAATTGGACGTTTTTTGCTATTTGTTTATCACGTCAGAAAAGAGTCTAAAGACAGAAAGCATCACCGAGACCAAACATTCGTCATTTTTTCAAAAGTCGGAACTCAAATTTAACTATTGAAACGCTTTTTCCACTCTCAATTGAGTTAAAGAAATCAAAAAGCGTTCCAAAAGCTTGATAAGTTCACCAGCATTGTTTCTCCAAGGTACTTTACAAAAAATTAACCAAAAACAACAGGGGCGGATCTAGAATTGCTTCTTGATTGACCAAATTGATTTTTTTAGCTTAACCAAAGCCCTAAAAAGACATGCCGCAGGCAATATCTTGAAAAAACAGGCCAAAAAAGCGCATTTAGGCAAAAATTGCGTTTTTTTTTGGCGCGCGCTCCCCTCTCAAACTTAGTAGATTTTGGCGCCAAAGGAGCCCCTAGAAAAATTTTAGGGTTCGTCGTCAAAAAAGGATATCTCAAGACTGTACAAAGGGGGACCTTTTGGGTCGGCAGGGGGTAGAATCCCTGAGGAGAAGCTTCCGCCCCCTCCCCCCCCCCCCAAATCCACCCCTGAATAACACGCTTTCCAGGGAAAATATTACAGCTGAGAAGGTTTCAAAATGATACCCAGCTGTATAGCGAACAAAAATATTTAATGCAAACAAGACTGCTCATATCAGGGGGAAGCCCTGATTGTTCCGACTGCCTTTTAAGGTCTATGGAGCAGTAATAACATACAACAATTACATGTAATAAAACAAACTGAAAAAAAAAGTTCTATCAATTTTGATAATTTGTTGTGAAAATCACCACCCCACATGCCTTATAAAGTACAAAGTTATAAATTTGGCTCCTTCTAACATATCAATTATGGCAAATAAGCTTCTTTCAAAAAATCTGTTACGATTTCTAAGACGGATTATATCTCCGCTTACGCGTTAATAGCGCGAAATAGATCGCATGTTAATTGTCCCAAATTGCCAAAATGGCAATCGTTAAACCCCCTAAACTTTAAGAAAACTGATCACAGCTAAAAATATTTTTTCACGTCTAAGTGACACAAAGTCTTGACTGAAGCATTCGATATCTATTCAGTACACAGTTTTGCAATGGTTCCGTGCAACTGTGGCTATTTTAAGTTTCTACCAGGATGAAAAAGGGAACAGTTTATTGCATTCAAAAAGTAATTAACTGCAACAGTGGTACCACGTAATAGTTCCAGACGCAAAAATAACAGCCTTGACTTACTTAAAAAGGAGCTTCGCGCATTTACTCTGGCTTATGGGAAGAAAGCGAAACAGTCTGTTCTTATGCGGGCTAAATAGTTTTCCCACGATATTTTGCGAATCGCAGAAAGCATCATTAATATTATTATTATTATGATTTTTTAAAACTCTTTTTATTTTTAAAATGAAAACTGCGTTTGTTTCATTTTTTGTTACAAAAAGTCCCCCCTTGCGATTTGCTTAGAACAACGTGATGCAATTACAGTCTAGTGTTGGCATCACTCAAAAGTAGAAGCGAGTAACCACAATTGAGTTGCTATGGGTTTTGTATTAGCAAAAACAACATGTTTTCCTCTGCTTAGGAGAAGAAAAAACATAGTTTTCCGTCAACTGCGATTTGAGAATACAAGGAATTTGATTTTAATGTTATACTCACGCACCGAATTAGTTCAGAGACGCACCAAAAACTACTATTTCTGCTAACTGTACTAAATTCACAACAAAGAACTGAAAAATCAGCCATCTAGGGTTGAATTTTTAAATTTCACCTAACAAAAATAAACGCTTGTTATTCGTTTTTTTTTGTTTTTTTTTTACAGAACGCGAATTTTTTTTCAAAACTGTCAAATGACCATTGCATAACAAAACTCAGTAACGACAGTTGGGCTTATACCAGCAGACGCCACAAAATGTATTAGCGCAAAAAATGCTGGTATATTTAGTCATTCTTTTCATCGCAGAAAAAGGTTATAGGAGCAGAAAATTTTTATAACTTTTTGAAAACTTAATAACTTGTTTAATGTTTAGTAATTATAAACCAATCTTATGCCCAATCATTTACGTGCGTCGTTTGTGCAGATATGGATCAGCACCTCTTCGGCTTAAACCTCAGATTCAATAGAGAGCTCCTGAAAACATGATGAATCTGATTTTGGTCTGTTGCGGATCCCGCTTACAAGGCACAGAAGGCACAATTTGGCCTCGTAATAAACAATCAATCTAAACTTTTTTGAGGTGGATTAAAATGCCGCCTAAGCAGCCCGCTTACAGAAGACCAAACGTTTTTTGCTATTGGTTTTTCCCAAATTGGCCAAATTTACCATTAAATTTCAAAAAACGTTCGAAGCTAAAATATTTCGTCTCAGCCCGAGATTTACATAGCTTACAGAACGCATGCTAAAACTCCAGACTGAAAATCCTCAACAATGTTTCTCCAAGCTGTTTCACAAAAAATTAACAAATAACAAGAGGGGCGGATCTAGAATGTTCTTGAGGGGGCGATTTGCAAATACTTTGTCGACCTTTTTTTTAGATCGGCTCAATTGATTTTCTGAGCACTCCCAAAGCCCCAATTGGGCCCCATTTTGGCCAAAAATTTGGCGCCGAAAACCCTAATTTGTAAAAAAAAAAAATTGCCAAAAAAGGCGTTTTTAGACAAAAATCGTGTTTTCTCGGCGCGCGCTCCCCCTCAAAATTGGTACATTTTGGTGCCAAAGGCGCCCTTAGAAACTTTTTAGAGTCCGTCGCCAAAAATGGATACCACAAGATAGTACAAAGAGGGAACCTTTGGGTCGGCAGGGGGTCGTATCCCTCCGGAGAAGAGTCCCCCTAAATCCGCCCCTGAATAAAATCTTTCCAGGAATCAAAGTTACAACTGAGAAGGCTTCAAATGATACCCATCTGTATAGTGTACAAAGAATAATTAATGTAAGCAAAACTGCTCATATCAGGGCAAAGCCCTGAGTGTTGCGATTGCCTTTTAAGGTCTATGGGGCAATAATATGATAGAAAAATTAAATGTAATAAAATAAACTGAAAAAATATAAACAAAGAAATTGATGTTTTTTTGTGAAAATCATTTCCCCACATGCATTATAAAGTACAAAATTATAATTTTTGCTCCTTAAAACAAACCAAATATGACAAGTAATTCTTTCTCAGCCAATTTGGAACGATTTCTAAGACGGATTATATCTCCGCTTAGGCGTTAATAGCGCGAAATAAATTGCGCGTTGATTGTCCCGAATTGACCAAAATGGCAACCGTTAAGCCCCCTAAATTTTAAGAAAAATGATCTTAAGTTAAAAAAATTCAAGTCTAACTGACGCAAAGTCCTGACTGAAGCATTCAATATCTTTTCATTACACAGTTTTTAAATGGTTCAGTGCTTCTGGGGCTATTTTCAGCTCCTATCAGGATGAATTAGGTAACAGTTTTTTTATATTGAAAAATTGATCAACTGCAATAGTGGTACCACGTAATAATTACAAACGCAAAAAAAAAACAGCCTTGAGTTACTTAAAAAGGAGCTTCGCGCACTTAGCCTGGCTGATGGGATGAAAGCGAAACAGTCTGTTCTTATGCGGGCTGAATATTTTTTCCAAGATAATTTGCAAATCGCAGAAAGCACCAGTTTTTTATGATTTTTTTAAATCTTTATTGAATTTTCAAATGAAAATTGCGTTTGTTTCATTTTTGTTACCAAAATTAGAGTCTAAAATTGGCATCACTCAATAGTAGAAGCGGCGAAACTACAATTGAGTTGTGATAGGTTTTATGTTAGCAAAAACAACATGTTGTTCCTCTGCTTAGGAGAAAAAAACAAGGTTTTTCGTCAACTGCGAATTGAGACTACCATCAATTTGCTTTAAACATTATATTCGCCCATCGGATTTATTCAGAGACGCACCGAAAGCTCTTATTTCTGGCAAATGTAATAAAATCACAATCAAAAACTGAAAAATCATCCATCTAGGTTCAAAATTTGATATTTCACTTAACAAAAATAAATTTTTGATATTAATTTTTTTATTTTTTTTCAAAACGCGGATTGCTTTTCAAAACTGTCAAATGACCATTGCATAACAAAACTCAGTAACACCCAATCAGGCTTATATCAGCAGACGCCAGCAGATATATTACCGCGTAAAATGCTGGTCTATTTAGTCATTCTTTTCATCGCAGAGAAAGGTTTTAGGAGCAGAAACCTTTTGAAACTTTTTGAAAAATAAAAAACTTGTTTAATGGTTTGTAATTTTTAACCAATTTTTTGCCCAATCATTTACGTGCATCGTTTTACAGATATCGATCAGCCCCTTTTCGGCTCAAACCTCAGATTCAATAGAAAGCTCCTGAAAACATGATGAATCTGATTTTGGTCTGTTGCGGATTCCGCTTACAAGGCACAGAAGGCACAATTTGGCCTCGTAATAATCAATCAATCTGAACTTCTTTGAGGTGGATTAAATTGCTGCCTACGCAGCCCGCTTAAATAAGATTGGACGTTTTTTGCGTGCATTGTTTGACAGAAATGGATCACCGCCGTTTTGGCTCCAACCTCAGATTCAATGGAGAGCTCCAAAAAATCTAGTCATTTTTTTCGCCACCTCTTCAGAAGTCGAGTTAAAACCTTCTTTTCTCTCTCTCTCTCTCTCTCTCTCTCGCTCTCTCCTTGCCTTGCCTCTTCTCCATTGCTCTGTCTCTATTTGAAGTTTATAGTTTCTGCCTGATTTTGTTTTTCCTGTTTCACGGTCACAAAAATATCATTTACTTAAGGTGGTCTCAAGAAACCAGAGCTGCAGAGGCGAAAAAAGGATGTTTTTTTTTTCCTTTTTTGTGAATTTTTTCTTTAAATTTTTAAAAGTTTCATCAATTTTAAGGGGCAACAAAACAAATTCAGGGCCAGTAAAAAAAATTCAGGGCCAAAAAAAAATTCAGGGCCAGTAAAAAAATTCAGGGCCTTGCCAATCTTGTTATTGTTCAGCGATAAAAGTAAGCAAAACTATTCGAAACAATTATACCCAATTGATGTTTCTGCATTTTTGTAACAAGAACCCACAGCGCATTTGTGAAACCTTTTCGATTTAGGCATAATCGTGATCGGATTATTCGGTCTGGTGCTCGGCCCCCTCTGCTTCAGCAACCCTGGATCCCCAGACAGTATCTGCAAAGTGGTCAGATCACAACTAGTCGCAGCAGCCCTTCTTTCCATTGGAGTAACTGTCGCAACAGGTACAAGTATTTAAGATGTGCTGGCCAACTGTAAGGAAAAGTATATGGCTTCTTATCGACAAGCATTGGCTTTTTACGCCTTAACACGCTATGATTTTAAGAGTTTTATAAACGCCATAGTAATTCAAAATTGAAAAATTAGACCTCGAAAATTAGAAACTGCATTACTTAAACGATGTTTCACCTAGAAATTCGGAAATTGCATCTTTTAAGGTAGGGCGACAATTCGTCACAGGCGACAATTTGTAACCGGTGACAATTTGTAACGGGCAATAATTCGTAACAGGCGACAATTCGTAACAGGTGACAATTCGTAACAGGCGATAATTCTTAAAAGGCGACAAGTCGTAACAGGCGACAATTTGTAACAGGCGATAATACGTAACAGGCGACATTTCGTAACAGGTGACAATTTGTAACAGGCGACAATTTGTAACAGGCGATAATATGTAACAGGCGACAATTCGTAACAGGCGACAATTTGTAACAGGCGATAATATGTAACAGGCGACATTTCGTAACAGAGGACAATTTGTAACAGGCGATAATATGTAACAGGCGAAATTTCGTAACAGGGGACAATTTGTAACAGGCGACAATTTTTAACAGGCGATAGTTCATAACAAGCTACATTTCGTAACAGGTGACAATTTGTAACAGGCGATAATTCGTAACAGGTGACAATTCGTAACAGGTGACAATTTGTAACAGGCGACATTTCGTAACAGGCGACAAGTCGTAACAAGCGACATTTCGTAACAAGGCATTGGCAAGTAGTATACGCTTGCTCTGCAGCGCTTATATCCGGCACGAGAGGATTACTTCGCGTGAATCAGTGTTCAACGCTTAATCTGCTGTTACGAATTGTCCCGTATTATGAATTGTCGCCTCACGATCTCTCAATCTGCGTTTTTAATACATGAATTTTTGTCGGCTTAATATATGAAGTTTTGTACTGCATCAGTTTTTGGAAGAGTGACCTTGAAGGACGAATTAAGATCTGAAATTAAATATTTTAAGGTGCTAGATCTAATTTTCGGTTCCCAAGCCTATCATCCCGCGTTTTTTAACCCCTTCTTCTTAACCCGCTCTCATATAACCCCGCTAAAATTTAACCCCTTTCTATTACAATTGCTAGAATCAAAGTGAAATATACTTGAAAGGAATTCGGAACCATAGCATCGGTAAACTTCAAAGCTTTAATTGCGAAAACTTTTTCCTTCTTGTAAAGTAGGGGGTGTAAACACAGGGAGTTAAAAAACGTGGGGTTCAAAAGTGGGGTCCAAGTTGTTTTAATTTATCTTTGTGCACGAAAAGACGTGAGCGGCCAAAAATCATTTCATAAATTTTCAGTGTGCTTAAAAAGTTTGCGTCTTGGGGAGTTTTGTTTCACTGGTTAGTTATAATGCCCATTCTGAGAACCAGTTATTTTTTCAATCTTCTCTAGGATTGTGACAGAGCTCAAAAATTAGAAAACTTTGACCAAAAATCAGCTGTTTTTTTTCACCTTTACTTTGTATAACTATATTATTATACATGTCCTTTTGTATTAGTCTTGATTGTCATCATCGTCATGAATGAATTCCATAACCTTTCGAAACACTTCAGTAGTTTTTCCATTAATTTTTTCATCGTTTTTTTCTATTCTCTTTGAACTTGTCTGCTGTCAAGAATTGTATGATTCAACATTTTTTTCTACTTCATCATCACCATCACCACTGAAATTAGTAAGCGCAGATAAATTTCTTTTTCGAAGATTTGGTACTACATTACTCAGGGTTAAAGGAATAGGAGATATTGGGTTTAATGGTGGTGGAGACAATTTGTAACAGGCGACAATTTGTAACAGGCGATAATTCATAACAAGCTACATTTCGTAATAGGTGACAATTTGTAACAGGCGATAATTCGTAACAGGTGACAATTCGTAACAGGTGACAATTTGTAACAGCCGACATTTCGTAACAGGCGACAAGTCGTAACAAGCGACATTTGGTAACAAGGCATTGGCAAGTAGTATACGCTTGCTCTGCTGCGCTTACATCCGGCACGAGAGGAATACTTCGCGTGAATCAGTGTTCAACGCTTAATCTGCTGTTACGAATTGTCCCGTATTACGAATTGTCGCCTCACGATCTCTCAATCTGCGTTTTTTAATATATGAGTTTTTGTCGGCTTAATATATGAAGTTTTGTACTGCATCAGTTTTTGGAAGAGGGACTTTGAAGGACGACTTAAGATCTGAAATTAAATATTTTAAGGTGCTAGATCTAATTTTCGGTTCCCAAGCCTATCATCCGGCGTTTTTTTAACCCCTTCTTCTTAACCCGCTCTCATATAACTCCGCTACAATTTAACCCCTTTCTAATACCAATTGCTAGAATCAAAGTGAAATCTACTTGAAAGGAATTCGGAACCATAGCGTCGGTAAACTTCAAAGCTTTAATTGCGAAAACTTTTTCCTTCTTGTAAAGTAGGGGGTGTAAACACAGGGAGTTAAAAAACGTGGGGTTCAAAAGTGGGGTCCAAGTTGTTTTAATTTATCTTTGTGCACGAAAAGACGTGAGCGGCCAAAAATCATTTCATAAATTTTCAGTGTGCTTAAAAAGTTTGCGTCTTGGGGAGTTTTGTTTCACTGGCTAGTTATAATGCCCATTCTGAGAACCAGTTATTTTTTCAATCTTCTCTAGGATTGTGACAGAGCTCAAAAATTAGATAACTCTGACCATAAACCAGCTGTTTTTTTTTTTTTCAATTTTAATTTGTATAACTATATTATTATACATGTCCTTTTGTATTAGTCTTAATTGTCATCATCGTCATCGAAGTGTATTCGAGGAATTTCGCCCCTCGTGAAGACGGAATGAGTGGCATGCTCGTCTACAAGTCGCCTCTGAAGTTTACAGATGAAGAAATAGGTGAATTGAAAGGCAGCAACTTTTGCACAAATTTTGAAGTTCGAAAGAAGGAGAATAGAATTGGCCTGCCTTCATAAGAACTCCTTTTATCTTCTACCGTCTCCCCACCTTCATTTTTTGCTATTTCTGTTTTTTGTTCATGGATTTTCATACACAACTTCGAAAAATCAATGTTTACACCGTAAAAATTTGAATCTGGTGGGCGAAAACGATAGAAAAACTGAACTTTTTACATGATAGATTATTAGAATTAATCATTCACTACAAATTGTTTTTAAAACAAAAGGTTCAGAGTTGAAAATGTAGGTGATCAGAGAGGTGGTTGTCCTCGATTTGCTTCTAAAACTGGGATACAAATGGCAATTTTTTGTATTACAAAATTGATGACGTTTAGCAGAGGGAGCCTGAGACGAAGCGATTCTTACTGAAAAAAATCTAACATAACAAGAAAACCCACCCCCCCCCCCCCCTAAAAAAGGAGGCTTTGGCCGTTTCGAAGCTGGATCTGCAGCAGGCTTGATGGCTTCTACCTTGAAGCAAAATATATGTATAGCGGTTTACAGAAATGTATAACATGAGTTTTCTTGAATTCCATGGTTTCCTTTTCTCGAGAAATGGATCATCGCAAGCTGTATTTGTAAGAAAAGCAATCGCGCTGTAGGGAGATCATTGGAGCCATGTTAGTAGGGCAGACGACAGCGCTGACAATAGGTCTGAAATGAAGTAGTTAGTTCATAGGTCCAAGCTTTTAAAAGTAATGACTGGCCATAATAAAACGAAGTTTGAGCAAGGTTCCGATATATTTTTTCCAAAAAATTTGCTCCGTGTACATAAAATTTCTTTGGTGCCAAAGCAACTGAAATTGAGGGGGAGCGGGTCAGAAAAACCCATTTTTCGGTAAAAAATATTAAACAAGTACTCAAAGCGTCATTTTTAAACAAGCACTCAAAATCGTTTTTTTACACTATACTTATCAGCTTCAAATGTACTAAGTTCGATGATTTAATGCTTGTAGAAAAACTAGATTCAAAACTGGCTTACGATAGGTCAACTGCCGGCATACTTCGAATGAAACTTGGTGATTTGTTCTTCCTACCATTGAAAAGGGTGAAGAACTATGTATTCGGGTGTGTTATATATATATTTTTGGCTCTTTTCCAGTCCCCCCTTTCAAAATACCGAGTTTTATGTTTGTTTTACGTGCTATTACGGCTAAATGCGTAATGTTACGCTGTTAAGTATGAAGAACAAATCTGTTCAGAATTGTCGATTTGTTCACCACGCCAAATTTCATTGCATTATGACAACGCTAAATAAGCTTTTCAAAATTGAATTTGAAAGGTGGGGGGGGGAACTGGAAAAGAGAGAAATTTTTTTGTTTTCCACACAAAATCAATTACCACAAATAATTTTTTCACAGTGTCAAGAAGAACCGGCCTGAAATTTTTGATTTTTGATCTAGATTTGTGCTAATAATGTGACCGTGTAAGGCTTATAACAGCTTACTTAAAAACTCAAAAAGACATGAAAACTCAAAACATTTCTGCTAAAAAAATGTGAACATTTTTTTGAATTTTTTCAAATTTTTTTAATTTTTTTTAGTTTTTCTCAAAAATTGGTTTCTAATTGACATATTTTACTATGATTCTCAAATATGCCTAAACTTTAATTTTTTCGTTCAGATCTTTTTAGCACAACATGCAGAAAAAAACGACACGAGTTTGAAAAAACTTTTTTTTATAATTTCTAGCACTGTGGTCGGAACATTCTGTGCTACTTGCACATCAACCGGCTATCCTTGTTTTTAGTGTTAGCTTGTTAAACACCGTTCTTTTACAACCAACCCAACTTGAAAAAGTTGGGGGATGATAGTTAAAATTGGCCCAAGTGTTATAGAACGCCCAAATACTTTTGTGGTATTAATTGGTAGTGCGTTTCGACGGAGATACTATTGTATGAGAAGGACCGAGTAGGCCAAGTACTTAATCAATCAGATTTCATTTCTCCCATAATTTTTATTTGTTGAATCAAACTGGCGGAAGTATATCTGTTAATCAAAATAAATGAGCTGATTTTGTTTTCAACACAGTGCGACTCGCCAGCATTGAGCACTCATTTTTGCGCTTTTTTTACTTTGCATGGTTAAAAAGAAAGAGAGATAGGCAATTTTCAAAACACTCTCAAAATAAGAAAAAATGTGCATTAATGATATAAGTAAAAGAGTGAAGAGAGGTTGGGGGATGGTGGGAGACCCCCATGTTTTAAGAAAAGGAATAGAACATCAGGTCTCCCAGCTATGTAATAACATTAGGTATAGAGTCCAAAAGGTATTAAAATAGGTTAAAAAAGTTGGTAAGGTTTCATGCTTTGTGAAATGGTAAGAGAATGGAAAAAAAATAGTGTTTTTTGGTTTTTCTAAAGTTTTTTGAAAAAATTTTGGCGCGCGTTAGCTAATTGAAAAGTATCAATATTTAATTACATGTGGATTGTAGAACGAAGGTATTATATTAATTTTTTTAGTTTATGGTAAGACAATGCTAAAAATTTTTGCACAAAAGATGAGACTTTTTATCAAAAAATTGAAATTTTTCCAAAAAAAATCAAAAACATGATTTGATCTAATTTATGCAATGACTTGTTTTTATATGATATTCTCAAGCTCGACCTAGCAGAAACCTGCTGAAACTTCCAGTAACTTAAGTATTTGAAAAAAAAATTAAATTTAACAGATGAAATAAATCACTGCATTGAATTTAGCTACTTTGTCAGTTATTTTACAAGCTCAAAGGTTTAGTGTGTATTCTGTCATCCTAAACTAGCTTTTTCGGGTAAAAATAGCCCAACCCCTTCTTTGTTTGCTCATAAGTAGCAATCATGTGATTGATAGTTCTTAAATCTCTGTTTGTTGATGTCAAGTAGATTGCTTCGTTGAGTATTTTCCTGTATTTTGCTATAGGTCCATCGCCGGAACCCTCTAGAACCCTTTTTTCAATCTTTTGCTGCTAAACTTCATCGTATTTGGTTTGTTCTCATGGCAACGGTAAGTCTTTCTCCATAACAATAACAACTCCGTACACCTGAATTTTTCTTCAAATAGTCCAGGCTCTCGTTTAATGTGTTTCTTGTGAACGCTGCAACATGTTCATGGAAAAAAAATCGCCTTTGAAGCTGCTTTAAATGAATATCTGCAATCATTTTCTCCCAATTTTTCTTCTGGACAAATACAATCATACAGTTTTTTCTCAATAAGAGGTAAATACAGCGAACGCGTGTCCATTTCTAATTTCTCAGAATTATTTACATCACAAAACTTGTCAAAAAAATTAAAAAATATGAAGCTCCAGCATTCTCAGCTTTGCATACTGCAGAATGAAAAACCGACAATTGTGAGTTCTCTGTGCTCAATTGTTGAATTTAACAATTCAATCTCGTACAAATTGTTTTAAGCAGTGTTCAAGCAATTAAAGAGTGGTTTATTAATTGCTTTTTGAGTTGACTCGTCATTTATTTTAATAACTTATGATTGTATGTCTCGATATGTCTATTATCTGGTAATCATAGGATGAGTTACCCAAACATTTCATAGTTTCTGCAACAACTCCGGATAAAAGATCTCATCTCCATCCCTTCTAGCATCAACAACTGAGTGAAAAAACTTGTTAAAAAAGTTTCGAGGAGAGCACTCAACAAGGCGCTAAGCTTTTGTAAACTGTAAACCAAGTTCCATATAAAAATTGAAGCAAGGAGTAATGATAGAACCATTTTCTAGTTTAAAGCTAGATAATAGCATTTTTTTGGGATGGCATAATTTCGCATTTATTTCCCGATATCATTCCGTCAGCTTCTGTATTTTTGAAAATTAGAGGAAAATTAGCAAAATTGGCTTTCATTTCATTTGGAACAACTCACTCACACTGAATATAGCCAGAAAAAGGATCTTTTGTTTTTTCCATAATGATTCAGTAGAGAGAGGTCTGATGTACAGAAAGTTGGTTCGAATATGATTTTTAAAATTTTTTGTTTGTTTTGAAGTTTTGCCACCACTCACATGCCCACATCTCTTCAGTTTTGTATCCTTTTAAGGTTTTTATTCCCGTCACAAACCATCCTAGTCTCCTCTTTTGTTTCCCCCCTAAAAATCCTCATCACTCAATAAAGGTCGAGTTTCCTGACAGGGACAGAGGTGGTAACAGCATCATACAGCTTCAAACACTGTTTTGCAGTGATCGCAATATCCGCTTACATTGAAACCGTCATTTTTTTAAATTTCCAGATGTGTGAAACTCTCAACTGTGTCATCTGGTCTGTTTTCTTGATAAAAAAACATAACCATATTCTCGAAACTGCAAAGTCGATTATATCTAGCCTTAAAATTTTCGCATATCGAAATCAAATTCCTATTTTGTGTACAGTCCCGACTGATTTGTAGATATTTGATGAACTCCTGATAAATGCTTTGTCCACAACAGCTTTTCGCGTGAACACAATTGATGGTCCACCCGTCATCTCTCCTTAAATTTTTTGCACAAATCTTCATCATTTTCACAAAATGGGTACCATGTTTAATGGTTGATATGTGCAGACAAATCTTTGCCAGATTTGAAAGAGTACATTTAAGTTTTAGCACATTTTCTTCGTTCTGATGATCAAACTGAACCAATTTTTGCATTGCTTCAAGGGTTGAAACAAAATCTTTGTTGGTAATCCACTGCAAAATTCTTCAAGGAGACTCATTTCATGTTTCTGCCAAGTCTCCTGTGAATATTTGTAATTATTTTATGCAGATGCAGCTACTGTCTTGATTTGAATTTTTTTAAAGTGCTTATTGCTCATCAAGTCCGCTGGATCTTAAGGTCTGATAATTTATTAGAGTCTTTATCAAGTGGATTTTTTCTCAGCTTCTTAAAAAGGGCTTTGTATGGAGATAATTCTTGATTTTCGAGCTTGTCTGCACTGTCAAAACACTCGTAAGGGAAAAACTCTTTTGTCTCACTTGTTTTATAGATTTTGAGAAAGGAGTCTAAAGGTGTTGCTCCGCCCAAAAACTTCATGATTTCTAAAAACTGTATGTCTCCAAAGTTGAAGGACTTGAAATCGTTAGC